AAAATTGAGTTTTGACATAAGTTGAGAAGATAGTTTGCTTCCCTATGTACTAGTTCCCGCGTGTGTCTAGGGTATTAGCCAGTCTGTTTATTCTCTCCGCATCCTGTTGCTTGTTTTCATGTTTTTTTTTTTTTGCGTTGCATTCGCGGCGCGCAGCAGTGGTCACCTGCTGCTAACCATAGGTCTGCTTTATAGTCAGCAAAAAGCAATTTGGTCTGGTGGCTAACATGAGGCCCCGCACCAGCCCATTTGCACCACCAAATCATCTCTGCATGCCTTGCTCTCCAGCCCTTTGCTGTTGTCTGTCGCTCAGCAGCAGCTCAAACAAGGCATTTCGAGTTGCTGTTGCTTTGCTGCTGTTATTTTGCGGCGTTGATACCCCGCTGACTTTGGCACTTCAATTTTATAACGACAGCAACAGCAAGCGACACCAACCACAACAAAAACAACATCATCGTAACAAAAGGTTGAGGAGACAGAGCCACGTTGTCCGCGAATACTTGGCACCTGCCTAATGGTCTGTGGCTGCCTTTGAAAATTCGACAGCCCTCACATAAAAGTGAACTTTTTAGAGGTTGGATTATTTTTTAGTGACATTAAGCAAATGCAAACTTTTAAGTGCATTATTTAGGCTATTAAATTTGTTATTTTGGCTGACGTTGCGTATACTGGATGAGCCATGCTTAATGCGAGCAAATTCAGTCTCTAAATTTATTATGATGGCTTATTGCATCATTGAATCACAGCCGAAGGCATTAAATTGCTTCTTTTTTAACTACTTTTTTTGCATTGATTGAAGTGGTGAAAATATTTATGACGTTAGATTTATTTTGATTTACTGTTTAAGATAGATGTTCAGAAATATATATTATATTTGCTCTAATCTCATAAGCTACCGCCAGTTAAAATTTCTAATTGTAAGAAAAATAATTAAAATTCGCAAAACAAAAACTCCAATGACTCAACGACTACAAAAAGATTTAGATGAATTTAAGTCTTGTTACCATTGAAACTGTCTGTTAGTATCTTAGCCTGACACCCACCAAACTTCTTGTCATTGGTTCTCAAAAAAATAATTAATTTTGAGTAAGACAAATCAGTATATAAAACATTTAAATATTATTAAGGCCGAATTTTCCGAAATATTAAATGCAAAAAAATATGAAAATGAAGTCATTTAGCCAGTGAAAGGAGTAACAGTGGAAGTGCTTTCCGTTAACAACTGCGCAAACAACTTTTTCCTGCTTTCTTATAATTTATTCGAAAAGAAATGATGCACATTCAAGCTCTTGTAGCTCTTGTAGTTGGCATTTGGAATACTTTTGCTGCTTTTAAGGCATCGTTTCCGCAATCTTGAGCATAACATAATATGTTCTTCCGTGGCATGTCATTAATCAAGAAAGTCGCCAGCCAACCGCATATATTTCATAATTTTGTGGAGAGAGGAAGCCCAACAGAACTTTTGCTAATGATTGCATGCCACGGCCATAGTTTAATCCCAGCAATCAAGTAGAGAGAAGAAAACTTTCCCTCTGGCTGGAGCTGATTTTCACACTCTCCATGCAGATATTTTTCTTTCGTTTTTTTTTGTTTGCCAACTGCTCAGGGCGCACTGATTAAGCTTGGCATAGCCTGATGAACAGTGGCGTGCCACGCCCACTAACACCCACGCCGCACTTTAATTAAAGGCGAACAAACTGGATGGAAACGCCCGCATAGCCGCAAAAAATGTCAAGCTTATGCCATCAATCAAAATGCTTAAATAAAATGTTTGTTTTAGCTGTTTGCCAAGACGCAAACAGGCCAAATCAGGCTCAAGCAGTCCAAAGGAAGAGATTGGCGGTGAATGGGAAGCGGAAGGCAGGGCGTATACTTAACAATGTATGTTATGTATTTTCCATGCCAATTGAGCTCTGCAAAGACACCATTCAGCAGATGGGGTTTCACTTTTGATACGCCCCAAAAAATGAAGAGACAATAAAAACATTGTTGTTCTCATTTGATGTGCTATACCCAGTTAAAAGACTAAGTGGCTATGATACCGAAATGTTTAACTATGTCATGACTAAAAGACGGCAGCTGTTAGATCATAAATAATCTATATTATTTTCAAATTGTACTCAAATTATCTAAATTAGTTGGAAATTTAATTTCACTAATTTTGTATTTTACAGAACCTCTACAGAGTATATTCTAGTCATGCTACTTTATTCAGAAAATGTTTCATTCTGTGCGCTGTTGTTGTTATTCCCCATTGAAGATCAGCTCTGACAACAAGCAAATGAAATTTATTGCCTTGTTGTGATAAATGTGACGCGTCTGTCTAACAAGGACACGCCTCAAAATGTAACCAGGCAACAACAGTCAGCCAGGCAGGACATTTCGAACTTCCAATTGGATTTGTATTTTAGGAAGCAAAAATACCTAAACGTAAAAGCCGTTGCGACAACAGGTTAACGCGCCTTCAAAAAAATGTATAAAAACGTATAAGCAATGCAGCACCCTCAAAACGGAAATGAACAGTTTGCGAAATATAGAAAAATATGACTTTTAAAGCAACTTATTTTTTCGAATGGCACCTCAAGAATAGAAACTATAAATATACGCGCTCAGCTCTCTTTTGCGACTCCGACTTCCTCTTAAAAGTTTCAAAGATTATTTGCCACCTAAAAATAGTCTTCTACTGTATATAATCCCTTAATAACAATGATTTTCTAGGGGAATTAATTATTCCTTAGCATAACTAAATTGAGCAGAAAATTGTACAGTAAAGCCCAATAGAAATTGACCAGCTTATGTTATATTTTTTCTCTTAGTAAGCCTAATAAATGCGAATTACCGCCTAAGCCAATCCTCGTCTATATTAGAGTCGCATTTGTTATTCCCTGCCACAAAAATATGTATTGAATTGCCTATCATATCATGATTTGTTATATCAAAGATGCAGATCAAGAAAGGCCTAATTTGAAGCAAACGCTTTATTATAGTAGCTCTGTACCTTAGTACCTAAACGATAATTAATATTATTTGATGATATCTAACACAAGTTACTCATAACATTGGCTTAAAATGATAAATGTATCAGGGAATTATGATAAAAGCTCCTTTTAGAAATATCAATTTGATCAAGATTTTATCCACGTTTATAATTTACTGCTTAAGACTATTTTCAATTTACCATCATTCATAAATTTAGATTTTATTATTTTAGTATAGTACTTTTTAACTAGGGCTTTTTTGCAGCTACCTTTCAACCATAAAAAAAATGCATTGAAAATTGCAACAGAATTTCTTTGGGTTGCAACAGCGCGTATGCTTGATATTTGTTCGCTTTATTGAAAGCTTTTCCCCACTTAGTCGTTTGTGTTGGAAATGCTATTCTTGTTCTTTTTTTCCATTGGCATAGCGCAATTTTCATGCCGCCAAAGCCTGCAAAAATTTCGAAATACCTGATGGATTAAAATTGGCCGGCAATTCTGAAAACTGCATTTGCATTTCTATTTCTCTCTTTTTTTCCGAAGGTTTTTTATGCATTTCGCGCTGGCGAACTTGGCGGCCAGTTTCAAGGCTTAGATAAAACCTGTTGGAAATTAAGGCGCAGTGGTTCACGATTTTTGGCAGTCAACGTGGCTAGCGCTGTCTTTTGACAGAGCCTTGCCCATTCCTCTCGGTGATTCAGTCAGGGCAAAAATATGTGCACAATTCCTTTGTCCGCGCGGCACTGTTCGCTTGTCTGCCACCTCCTCTTGCAGCTTGCCTCGCTGAGCGTCTCTGTGCGCTTGGCTTTAAAGTTAACCTCAACAATTTGGAGCAGTAAGCATTTTTGCCCACACTTTTACACGGCCTCATATTGCGCATACGTCACGTGAACGTTTGCCATTTTTTTTGTCGTGGGGCAATAATCGTAAAAAAAAGTAGAACAAATTTTGAGGGTAGAATACCGAAGCGAAAATACTCTTATAACTAAATAATATTATTTATTATATAGCAAGCAGAATACATACAGGTCTGATGTTCTCTTCTCAGGTAATTGTTAACCTGAGAGTAATACATAAGTCTCAGTCGTAGCTCAAAAGTATGAAGTCTGCTACGTCTCATAATTGTTGGATGTTTATTTAAGAGATTAAATTTCGATTGCTAGCTTTTACATAAGCTGTGTCTCATCCGAATAGCTTTACAAACAGGTAACTGACTTAGAACCTGCCGTCAATACGTTTTCTATGCATTTTGTAAATACCAAATTATATTTAAGCCAGGTATACGTAACATATTTATTTATTATCTTGGGAAATGTGAATAAATGTGGTGCCTTAGCCTGAAGCTATAGCCAAACGCAACCAATAAGCTGTCAGGAGGCTTGTAGATCCATGCCCAGATAGACTTTCTTATAGCGAATTTATTTTATTACCTTTACCAAAATTTTAAAAATTAGTTTATATAAACTTTGTGCAGAATTTCAATTTGTTTTGTGGTTATTCGTATTTGAAAACCACAAAAAGTTCAAAAAGCACAAATTCGAGGAAAATCAAATAAATATATGTGAAATAAATAAAAACATGCTAGTCAAGTAGTACCGAATGCACAATACACTGTTCACAGAGTTAGAGTTACAAATGCAACAAAATATTATTAGAGAGACTATCGGATGACCTTTGCAGTCTATGCTATATAATTAAGTCAGTAGCTGTTTAGTAGCTGTAACTGTTAGTGGGCAGCATGGCAAATAGTCCGGGTTACTTCAAAGCCAATATACTCGCTTTCACTTTGCGAACAGTGTATAATTAGCACTAAATACAACAAGCAAAAGAACTCGTGGATTTAACATGCAAACGAGTTAGATGTGAATTTGAATTTGATTTTTCTGTGTCGGGGTAGCTTTACGGCTAGTTAGTTAAAATATTAAAGAAGTGCTACGTGCAGGGATTTGCGTCCGCTTTTAGCGGTTAAATTGTGTTGGTGTATTAGTGTATGTGTATAGGTGTCTAGGACTTAAGACTTACCACAATGCGTCGAACACGTGTCATTTTGCGATATTCGCCCAGTTTGAGGCCGCAAAGCCAAAGCCGCCTTCTTCAGTTTTGTTTTCTCGCACAAACAGCGACGGCAATTCAACAGACACTCAACTCAACAATTCGCTACTTTTTATGCGAAGCAACTGATAACTGATTAACTACAGTAGACTCGTCCTTAACAATTAGCAGATTTTTAAAGAACTTTCAGTTTGTTTATATCCCCTAGTTGGGTCTCCAGACACGCGTTTCGCGTTGCCTTTTAGCCAGTTAGTTATTTTTTGATTTCCTTTCCTCGAACTGATTATCGACCGCTGCGCCAAACGTCTCAGATGAAACTAAATGTGCCCCGAGATTGGCACACAGATGAAATACCCCCTGGAAAATTGTGGCCAGGCAAAACGGTAAAAAAAGAATGCGGCAAAGAGCGCCACTACAGCTCGCCTGCCTCTCTCGCTCGCTCTCCATCACTCTCTCTATAAGGCTTTCCTCAATGCTTGCGCTCAGCACACGCTGCGGATGTATATATATGTGCTTTGCGTGTGCACAGTAGGAACTGTTGGCCTATTGCATAGCAAAAAATATTTGTTCTCTATTTTCTCATAAAAATATATATAAAAAGGTTAAAATATGAAAATAAAGTAAGATACAAAATAGTTCAATAGCAAGACAGATATATATATATACTAATATTAATAGTTGATTTGCAAATTGACTTTAAGAATTTGAAAATTTGACTTAATTTTGTAGAGCATTTTCATTTTAGTCGTCTAATTTTAGTTTGCTCGAAAACATACATTTTTTAAAAGCAATAATTTTATCAAACAATCTTTAACCAATCTTTAGGAACGTTGCATAATAGTCCATAGAACATACGTATTTCACATAAGGGCCAGGTAGAGTTTTCGTGCAGTGTATTTGTAGAAGAGAGCGAGAGTGCGCATAACACACAGAGAAAGAGAGAGAAGGAAATGGAGACAGAGAGAGAGAGAGAGAGAGAGAGATAGAGAGAGCAGCAGAGAGGCAAGTAAGAGGAATCGCTTGAAAGCTGGCCTTTTGTTTTTGCCACTGTTTTTGCATTATAAAACTTTTATTTTGACAAACACAAAAAGCACGGAGCCAACGTCAAGGTGGGGATGAAAATGGAGGCAAAGGAAGAGGAGCTGGCTAAGTGGGTACGTAGCAGTATCTATATATGTGAGTGTGTTGTGTGCGTTTGTTTATTTGCTTGTTTTGTTACATTATTTTTGGTGGGGTAGAGAGTGGCCTGGGTAGAACGCGAAAGCCAGGCAACGACTGCAAAGACAAAAGCCGAGAAATTCAAAAATCACGCGCTGCAAACTTGTTGAAGAAATATTTATGCAGCCGCACATGTGTTCGTGAGTGTGTGTAGGTGTGGAAAATTGGCGGTGTGGAGGAGGGTAGGCGTTTAGACGTGTGCTTAGCTGTATGAATAACTCTGAGTTGCGCTTTAAACCTGCGGCAGTTGCTTCAACTAGCAAACGGGTCAAATAAAGACGTTGCAAGGTTCGGGTAAAAAGGGAGCGCACACTCATTGTATGTTGGTAGCTGTGTATGAGCGTATGTGCCCAAGTAGCTGGCACACACACATACAGTATTAACAAACATATATTGCAAAGCGCAACATGTTGATTTAACACGTGTTCCCGTCGCACGTGTGTGTTTACATGTGTGTGGGTGTGTGTGTGTGTTGTAATTACTGCATGTCGAGGAAAATGTAATTAATTAACTCTATGCTAATTGCAATTTGATTGCACAAGACAGCTAAAGGGTTGACTCGTTTTCCAGCAGAGAAATGATGGAATATTTTCAGTTACATTTTGCAAGTCGAGTGTTTATAAAATTAAAATTTCTGTTTATTCAAAATATTGTCAGACAAAATTAGCTGGGCTGATATATGTTAGATACATAAATATTTATTTGTATTAGCTAGACACATATATATAAAGTAACTTTGCCATTAAACCAATTTTTAGTTTAATTGGTTTGCTCGAAGGCCATATATTAAATAGTTTAGAAAGTTGCTGTCGGGTGCTACCGACTGCATAATACTCATTCACGGTCTACAAACTGGCAACTTGCAAGACTGTGGAGGATATAGTTCCTCAAGTAGGCGTGCTCATAACATTTTATAGACAATCCTTTCGAAGACTCTTGAATACATTTTCTGACTTAAACTCCAAAACTGAATAAATTACAGAGTATATTCGATATGGCACAACACCAATGTGGGGAAATGTTGTTTTCGATAGAAGAGGTCAGCAGTAATAATCAATAATCTAAGTTTTAATTTGTGGCTTACTCTGCTCCCTAAGGGCCCAAATATATAATCAATAAAAATATAAAAATTACTCTAGCAGAATATCCAATTTAGCACGCTCCCAATGAGTGCAGATATGTAAATAAATTTACTGAAATTTTACTAACCAAAAATCAAATTATATTTTTGTGAAAGTTTTTGTGCTAAAACGAAAATTATGATTCAGAAAATTCAAAAGCTTTGGGAAAACTATTTTTCCGTTGGCTACATTAATTAAAAAAAATAGGGTCATCGACGGCTTTCTTTGTTTGGTTATATCAGATTATATATTGTAAGTCACATGTATTATAAATAAAATAATAAATATTTGCATCACATTAAGACCTTAAGCCGATTAGCTTACTATGGTAATTACATCAAATATCAATAATTTTAGCAATTGTCTATGCCAAAATGAATTAAAATAAAGCACTTTGATTTGCCTGCCTTTAGCGTATCAGCTGACTTTAGCGAGGAGAGATCTTTCAGTTGAGTGTCTTGCAACAGACAGACAGAGGTCCATATCTATAAACACTTGAGTCCATAGACTCATCAGCATACATATTGATTTAATGATTCTGCAGCTATTTACTTCTGTCTGTCATATGTATTTCATAGTGTAGGATTGAAAAGTATGCTATGATATTGCGTGGGCGGGGTCATTGATGCCGCAATGACCGCCGTTGCGTGCCCCAGTGGCCTTTGAACAAGCTGTTCGCAGCGTGCCACGTGTCCGTCCACACTACAAGGAACTCCTTCCTTTAGTTTGCTCAATACTCTGGCACCTATTTCGCTTGAGCTGTATTTTTAGTTTTGCATTGTGTTTCTTGGTTGCTGCTGCCTTTTCTTTATTTTCCTTGATGTGATTTTTTTCTGTTGTTTTTCTTTCGGGGGGATTTCTGTTTTTGTGTGCTCGCATTCGTTTCTGTTGAGCTTTGGGGCTTTTGGGGGTTTTCTTAGTTGCCTTTGATTGCTTTAAGTTTTGCTTTCGGATGATTGCCAGCGCTGAGCAGAAGGCGTAGTAAGATTCTGATATGGCAGTGATAGCTCTTTGAACTAAATGATAGCCTTATGCATAAGGGGCTCGACATGGCTGAAAAGGCTCCAGGACTTGGGGCTTAATGGGGATTTTCTGTCCGGCATTATGTTGGCTTAGTGCATGTGTGTGTGCTCTATTAAAGATATAGATTGGGCTCAATAGAAAATATATTTTATTTAAATTCAGCGTTTATTCCAAAATTAATGAAATACCAACAGAATTTCATTTATCATATTTATTAGATAGACTAACGAATGCCAAACACAAAACGCTATCCCAATTTTATGTTAACAATGCAGCAAAATACGCATTATCAATTTTATTGCCACCGCAAATGCAAACCTATTAAGCCAATTATGGTATTTGCTGCAATTTATTTTAAAACGCATAAACCGCGGCACATAAATCGGCTTATGTTTGTCTAAATACAGCCTTGATTATTATATTTAATGTAGATAGTTGGGGTGAGCAGTGGCCACGGGTTCACGGAAACTAGGGCCACTAAATGCAACCAATTATGACTCATTAATTCCATATTTTTATGGCTATTGAAATAGGATGAAAAGCGTGTTATTTTTTTATACGAATGCATGTAACAGGCTGCAGTAGGTGAGGTCAACCACTAGGTATACAGATTTGTAATCAGCATCGATTTGGGAACCTTTAAGAGGTACATGAAATTTTTTCTAGATAATTGATTAAGTTTTCGTTTCTCAGAAAATAATAAAAGTCTATTTAGCTCTGTTACAGTTATACTAATAACGTTTTAAAACAAAAAATAAAAAAATGGAATTGCGAATACAAATCTTAAAAATTACGATCCGTTTTATTAAGAAACTTCAGTTGTCAACTACTTTTCCAGCTTAAGTTTAACATGTGCACTTCAGTTATAAGAGTAAGAAAATTTGCTACATAAAAAACATAAATCACTTCCAACCAAAGCAGTCTTGTTATTTCCCTTTACAATATTTCTAGCCACTTAACTGTATCTAATGTGTTTAAGCAATAGCTTTTTATTTAATTTTTTTTGCATTTTATAACATAAAACTCTTATTTCGTCAGTGGCCAATTAAAATTTAATACATATATCTAAACTGTCAACTACTCGAATTAGGAGTTTAACAAGTCCCACATGTCAGGTCAGATGACTATGGAAAATAATAATAATAAGAGTTGGGTCAATTTGCATTTTATGTGCATACAATCATAAGCTACTGTTGCGCTTGGGCTACAGCTATAATTTATGCACTACATTGTCAAATACACAGTTTCTAACTGGCCAAAAACAAAACGAATTTGCTTTTAATTGCCATACACTTGAAGAAAAAGCTGAAAAGCTTACAGCCTTACCGCTGCAAAAGCTTAGGTCATGAAAGGGGCATTCAATAAAATTATTTTCAGACTATTTCTGTAAACATTAAATCTGATTACTTATATAAAACAAACTCTACATTAATTTATTTAATAAAATAAAAGAAGGCACATCAGTTACCATATAAATTTAAAAAACTGCCATCCATCTTTCAATTTATGCCAATGTCAAGCTTATAAATTCTTAAAGAGATTTTCCCAGTGTTTTGAAATCGTTTTGGAACAAATCGTTTTGAATTTTCAATCAGTTTTCAAAATGCAACACGCACATTTTAAGAGCTACAAATAAGTTTTCTTTGCTGGTTTTGTTGGCTTTTTGCCTGTTTGCCCATTTGGTTTCTATTATCACTTTTCAGTTTTCCATTTTCCGGCTTGACTTTCTGATTTCAATTGCAAATGAACTTTCAATAGCAGCATTTCTGCATATTGTTTTCCAATCTTCTTGTCTAACTGAAGACGCCTCAGGATGCGCTCACCGATGTGTACATGTGATGTGCAAGTGTGTGTGTTAATGTACTGCAAGGCAATATAGAAACACATACGCACACGCACACACTCACACACACG